TCTCACGTCCTTTCACTCTCTCACGTTCGGTCTGTTGTGAAAAAAAAGGAAAAAGGAATACAAACATCGGTTTTTTTTTACGCTTCACAGCTAACCACAGCATTCGACAGTTATGTTTCACTCATTTTGTATGTTTGTTTTTTTTCTTTTAAATTACTTATATCACAATGAAACGCCGGCGCATACTTTCCGTCTCTGATCCCTAAAAATTGATTTCGATACCCAAATCGGGCATGCATACCTTCTTTCGTGATCCTCTCGTGGCATGCTCGTGAATCGGCAAAACACGAATGTTCAAAGGATGCGTCTACAGGCTCTGGCAGGTTTTGGCCTTGATCCGAGAGTTTCCGGATGGTCGCGAACAATATCTATGGTAAGGATCCGCGCGTCGGATGAACTGCACGTGCAAGGCCACAGATGTTCATGACGCGGATCCGCGGTCATAGGGTTGTTTCTTCTGTACTTCGTTTCGACGATTTGCTTCTAAACTCGATGAACCTTTTACTATCTTCTGTCGTTTACTTCTGCTGAATACTAGATAATATAGCTGCGCTCTCCTTCACGAGTTCCACGTTCACTTGGTAGAACTTGGTGCCGCTTGGTACGCGATACCGATTCTCGGACTGAAACATAAATTAACACCCAGTTGTCATATTTATCTCCAGTTGTATGATTGGATCCAGCGGATCTATTCCAGCTTTCGAACATTACTTCTAAACTGTTACATTGGAACAAACCGTTGAAATATGGTATTTTCAAGGGAAAATATAATTTCTTAGAAGTAAAGCATTCAAAAATTATATGCAATCGATCAAGTATCTCACCTTTCTAGCGTGACAGTACTGCTTGTCTATGACCTGGACGATGTGCTGGGTAGGCCTCGGTGTCCCGTCAGGCATTATATCTATGCCGGGGGCTAGGCAGTCCGAATTGAGGAAATACATCGTCATCGATTCCTGGTACAGCATGTAGGTCCAGTAGTTCGGATCCCAAAACATCAGCACGTGATCGCCCGGATTGCATCTAGTCACGGTGATGTGACCGAGTTCCACGAGCTTATCCGCGAATTTCTTTGCCCTCTTCTGGATGCGCGTCAAACAGGTTGTGCAGGTGCATCGACGTAATGGTCCAGTACTCGTAGCCGCGTCCCGACGTATAACCGATTTCGAAGCCATCGCCACGGATGCGCTCGTATCCTTATCGCGGCTCTCCGACGAGGAGGATGAATCTGGAGTTATGAAGTACTTATATCGTTCTTTTACTAATTCGACCTCCAATCGCATTGTGTCCGCTTCCAAGATCTCGATCTTCGCGTCGGCCGTCTGTTTGCTCTCACGCAGCGATTTTAACTCGGAGTTGAGTCTTTTGTTCTCGTTTTCGAGCATCTCCATTCTCCTAGACATGCAGTATGAATCATCGGTAGTTTCCAACCGTACTTTCTTCGATTCGGATACTTCCACCTCGTCTTTGTCCGGTTCCAAACTCTTCGCTACTTCTTCCAGACTCGTCTGACTCATCTTCAGTTGTTCGTCGCTGCTCTCTTTGTGCAAGCCAGAGTCAACGAGAGCGGAGCTGTAGCTCTCCGATTTCATTAGTTGTTTGATCGTGTTCTTGTAGCGTTTGCACTCCTCCGTAAGAACCATTTCTCTCTTTCTATACATCTCTACATCTCTGACTTTCTCCTCAAACACTTGCGTTGCTATGCGCAGCTCGTGAACCAGCTTCGATATACAATCTCCGCATTCTTTCTCGACAGATCGTAACGTCACAGATTTATCCAGCTTCGATTCTTGCATCGAGTGTCCGAACGCATGATTGACGAGCTCAATAAAATCTGGTTTCTACAAAATAACATAAAAATACCTTTAAAAGCTACTATCAAGTAAACTTGTTTTTTTGCTTGCGCAAAGTAACGGATACTTACGTCTATCTTCTCAAGGCTACTATCACTCGGACTTCTCTCCATGGCGCAGGTGGAGGCAGCCATTAGCTTGAACCGACTCCTGATCGATTCCAACTCAGCCTTGTACTCTATCTGCAGCTTGTCCGTTGCCTCCTTCACCAGCCTCTGCTGATCGTTCAGCGCCTCCTCCATGCGTGCCTTCAGATCTCTGTTTTCATCTTGTTCGTTCTCCAGTTTGCTACGCATGGTAGCCATCAGTCGCTCGTACTCGGCTAATTCAGTTTCCTTCTCGAGAAGATCTCTCTTCAGCGTACGTATTTCCTCTTCCCGACTCTCAATCAGCTTCTTCACATCCGTCATCTCGAGTTCGTGATCCACTGTCAGTTCTTGCTCGCGTTCGCGAACCCGACGATCGCACTCACACGAATACAGCGACAGCACCTCGCGAATTCTGTCGATCATCTTCGAGGAACCGCACATCTCCTCGTCAGAACGATCCCTGAGAACGGACAGCTCTTGTCTGAGCGTCGTCAACGATTCGCCCACTAATGCCTTCATCGTCTTCACGATCGTACGGAGTCTCTCCACTTCCTCGCGCGTGTTCCCAAGATTCTCCTGAAATATTGACCGTCAACAGACGGTGTCCGATGAGTATCGACGCAAGGACGTTTGTCTTTCGCGTAAAACTCAACCGACTCAAGTTATTAGAGCAGGCTAATCGTGTAATCGGTATATAAAGGGGGTCGTTCGAAATGGTAGATAATTAATTGATTGCCCAAAAGATTAGAGGGTGTAAAAAACGGTTCGACAAGTGAGAAACTCCACAGGTGTGTGATCGTGGTAATGATGAAAGAGAGTGAATGGGTTGAGAATAAAATTATCGCTAGATTTTGTAAAGCGAACTCGTGATTTTGATAGTAAATCTTGAGGAACGAACTTCGGGGAGATGGGATCGGGAGAATCGAGTGCGACGGCAGCTATCCTGTAAAAAAATTAAAACACACACACTCATACGAGACAAAGACGAGACGAAACACATGTTACGAAAAAAGGGAACAGACACACAGGCACTACGTTGAAAAAAGTTAGAAAGTAAAAAGGTAACACACAGGTAACAGTAAAACTTGTTAAAATACATAATTACACTACAGGCAAGATATATACATACCGACATCGATTTTGTTAATTATTTTAAGTCAGCGCTAATAGCTTACTGGACTAGCGAATGTAAAGACAATGACAACGAAAGTAGTACCTAGAAACCACAGAAAGGGGAAATAAGTGGAGACAGAGATTCAACGGTGAAATCAGCACACGTCGAGCAGAAAATGATTCTCTAAATGTTTCACACGTAAATAGGAAAAATGCAGATAAAATGATACATTTAAGTTGGAGAAAACACGAATTTTTACAGAAGTACTAATGCCGAATATATAAGCAAACACCAGTGTACCAGAAAATGCGTCATAGAGAAAAGGAAGAAATGGAGATGGTAAAAGGAACGTGTACACAATAACCGCGTAAAAAATTGAAGAACATTGATTTTGGAGGAAATCAAATCTACGGATCAGCAAAAATCGCTTTGATTCCTTCTAATCAGTCTCACGTTTATATTCCTTCGGAGAAGGATGCGGATAGGCAGGTAAATGCGGTAAAGTTCGAGTGGCGATGTAACGCAAGAGAGCGGTAATGGAACGTTTACGGCTACGACTACAAGGTCTGTTAGGCGAGCTGTAAGTCGTCCAGTACCTGGAGAAGGGAAACGATAGCCTGATGATGGCCGTCGGCGGGATGTTCGCTGAGACTGCTCGGCAGGGACTCGTCCATGTAAAACTCAGTACCCACGAAGTCGGTAGCGCCTACTCCAACGGAAGGACTGCTACCGCCACTGCCAGACAGCTGATGGCATTGTTGCTGCTGGCCGTCGCACATCACGGACCGTGACAAGGGTGAACATGGAGGATTTGGACTTAGGGAGGAGTTCGGCTCGTCTTCCATCGTCGCCGATGGCGCTTCGTGATTGTATTTATTACTCGGAAAACCGTTCGTAGTGGTAGCGCGATGGAGACAACTGGACTCGCCGTTCTCGGCGCACTCCGTTAATGGGCTAAGCTGAGCCGGACGCTCGCTGACGGATAGACTGGGAAAGTGGAAGGATCCGGGCTCGCTCGAGGAGGATGACCGGTTCGTCAGGTCCGCGACTTTCGAGTTAAGCGGGGACACGTTAGTCGAGGTCGAGGATGCGGGGGATACGCTTCTCGAGGCACCAACCTCCAATTGCTTCTGACGCATTTGTTTCACACCATCGTACGATTCCGGTTTAGAGTCGGCGGCGCCCTGCCCGATCTTCTCGAACTCCTCCGTGTCAGTCTCCGATTCGAAACCACCCCTGCAAATTGCAAAACGGAAGTATGGTTATTCGAAAAATTATTTACCATTGCGTTGGTCAGAAATCTATAACATTTTGCAAGGATAATTACCTGTCAAATAACATCGGAGCTGTAGTTTGATCCTGGTCTTTGACAGCCACGTCGACACGCATGGAGGTGCTGTCCTTCTCTTTATTCCCCTCGGTGCTCGCCTCGGTAAGACTTTTTGACAGGAAGAATTGGGTGATGCTGATCAAGTCTGGTGACGAGATGGTAAGCGCCAGATCAGGTAGCTGCGACCTTAAGGATTCTATATCTTCCACCGTTAACTGTAATGCGTTTCGATAAAAATGATTCCCTTAATTTCGAAATTGATGTTCATCTTAAAAGAATCAACGATCCAAATAAATACCTTTGGGAGTCCGTTATCAAAAACAGATGGTGCCTGTGTAGCGAACGGCGGCGGCGTGTCTTCTAAACCCGGAAACAGCAGGTTCAGGAAGTGGCCATCGAATTTACTCTGGAATTCCCTTCTACGAGTTAACTCCTCGCTATGCACCGTCAGCAGCTGACACGCAAGATTACTAGCCCAGACCAGGAAAGCTTGAGAGAACGTTCGTCGCCGGACTACCTCGGCCACGGCGTTCATGTACATTTGCGGAGCTAGGTGTATCTGTTGTAGCACCTCGAGGTATCTTCTGATGCGCTTCAGGCTCTCGTGATACATGACGAGTTTCCTGTCCATTTCTTTCATCTTGTTCTCCACATACATGATCCATTTTAACCGATGGTAGATGTTGACGGACAATTCCTCTTTCGCTTTGGTGCACCTGCGCCTGATGTCTCTTAGCTTATTGTGATTCTGCTGCATCACAAGGAGCTGACGTCTGTGCAAGGCGCAAAGATCTGGCAGGATGCTGGCGTCGCCCAGATTGTTCGCCCGACTCTGGTTCTGCAGAAAACCCTGGGTCAATTCCCCTTGTACCTGGACCAGTTTCTTCGTCTGTATCATAAGCTGTTCCAACGCGAACAACCTTTCGCCAAGTCCTTTGATCTCCTTCATGTCCTGCTTGTTTGCGCTGTCTAGGACTATATTCACCTCAGTCTTCAGCGCTTCCATTACTCTCTCATCGTATTGGCCGAGTCCTCGCGTACAATAGTCCACCACCTGTTCCAAATTGCTCTGATTGTCTTTCACCGATATCCACCGAAGTAGATTTAAAACTTCCTTCCTGCCTTCGGAATCGTTCTCGGATTGACTTGGCTGTTCATCTGGACTCAGAAGACCCTCCGCCTGTGCTCTCAACGCTGGTAGAAGCGGAATTTTCGATAAAGTGTCCAAGTCATGGCTGAAGCTATAAAAAAGTGTTTAATTAGAAATTTTATCAACTCGTATAATTAGTATCTATTAATAATGACACTCGATTTTTTTTGAATGAAAAATTGTGATCTATCATTATTTTGCGTTGTAAGCGAAGTTCCGTTTAGAAAACTTTCGAAATACGCAGACCTAATACGTAACTTTAACGAGATAGCAGAGAATACGATCGTATGACTCAATCATTATTTAATCATTAATTAATTCCTAGATTATGTGCCATTAAACACGTCGACCGAAGCGTTTATTGCGCCGCTATCTCTCAACTGCGCGCATTTCCTTGAAACTCGCGACTTCTTTTGACGTCACGCAACATTGTACATTGTCCACGTGCTGCTCCTTGGAAAGTAGCGATTCATTAACTAAACGTGTAATTAACGTCGTTGAAAAACATATATTCGGTGAATTCATTTCTATGAATCGAATACTGAATTCGCGCCAGAATTATCGATGGAATGCGTTTTCGAAATTGCAACTTTCAATTAAAACTCTGGAAATCAGTTTCATTTTAATCTATATTATTCTGCTCCCGTGAAAGTTGTCTACTCCTTTTATAAGTAAGAAATTCATAGGATATTTTGTCAGAATTTAATTTACATGTCTAGCATGAATCTGTAATATTGAAGGCGAGCAGCAAGTAAAACGTAATTCATTATATATGCAAACGCGTCAGACTGCCTGGTAAGAATTGAAAATTACAAAAACACTAATAACGAATAATTTGAATATTCTCCATTGAGTACAATGCTTACTTCGCGAGCAGATCTATGTGTTGCTGCCTTTCAGAAAGGTACGCGGTGTAGGTCTGTTGCAGAATATCAGCTCGTGACTGGAACAAATGCGTGAGGTCTTCGAGGTTGGCCACTACGGCCGCCCAGCCCTGTTGCTGAAGATGTTGATCGTGCACCAGCCTCTCGCAAATCCTGGTCTGTTCCCGAGCCAATCCATAGCATTGCTGAGCCAATTGGGCGCGGGCGACGATGGTCTGATAAGTGGCTGGCATCACCAAGGATGCATCGATTTGGTTTTGGAGATCGAAATCTGTAGATCAAAAATCGTTCATGAATTAGACTAGATTTTTCATTAAAAAAAAAATGAGGTGTCTAAGTAAGAACGATATAAATGGTTTGGTGCACGAATAACAAAATCTTCATTTAAACTATTAGAATGTGTGTTCACGGTTGAAATCATTTCGTTACAATATTCGAGTAGCTTCGAATATATCAGCCCTCGAAATTAACTCTCTAATAATTTCGCAAACAGGTTCCACGGTTGAATCGTACAATTCTAGTCGAAATAATATCTGGCTTGCTCCTGTTCAGACTAACTTGTCCCGTCAAAGCAACCGACCTGGTCGACTAACAATGTCAGCCAATTACGGCAACAGATTTCGTAAACTCACAGAATCGAGTGTCCTATCAGCTGGAACAACGATCGTATCAAACTAGTTCGGTTTAATCTGGAAGCGAGTCGTGTACACGTCTCATTCGAGGAGAGGATAAAATCTAAGACAGCAATACAGTCAAACCACGTAAATCGCTACGATAATGCAACCTTTTCTAATAACGATAACAAAAAATTTGTCCCTCGTTTTTGTACGCTTGAAAACGTGCTCGTAAAATGTCCGATAATTAACTCTTGTTTACCTCGTTTAACACTCCGTAAAATAATTTGGTAAACTAAAACCTGTTTTAACTGGCGAAAGTTATTCTTTGCTATCTCGTATTAAAATATGTCAGAGATACGCGTGACTTCCGCTAATAATAATCACGGATCCGTAGCTTTCAGATTTATATCAAAGGATGAGTTTTAATGAGCGCGTATCCTCGACGAGCAGAACGAGAGCCGACTAACCGGCCGTATAATTGATCGAGCTTCAGCAACGTAATCTTGGCACGCGATGAAAGCTCAAGGTCTCTGCACCCTTGCGTCACAAGAGCCCGCGTTCGAGGCGGCGACTCGTACCTGGTCGTCCGTAATTCGCTTCGTTTGCAAGCCATAAATTTGTGAAATGACTATAAAATCCGAAACGATGCTATAATCGACTCCCGGCTTCGAATTCCTTCCTCTTTAATATTCCACTGAATGCGATATGAATCTCATTTAAATGGCATTAAAACTTGTACGACTTCGATAACGTCGAACGCTATTCTTTTTTTAACCGTTCCCGTTGACACGACAAAGGAATGAGAAGCACGGTGTAATTAAGAAATCTATTGTGCTCTCGTTCTCGAGCAGCCGTTATTCGATTGATCGAAATTCGCGGAGAAAAAAGGTGGCTTGGACGGAGGTAAATCGAGGCTGGAGTGTTGTGTGTCGCTCGACTGTTGGCCAATATGTATAAGTATCGATTTTGTGCGCCGCTTCGAGGGGTCACTCTACTATCTCCAGCCACTCCATTTTGCAAATAGAAAATTATTAAAATGCAGTGAGATCACAAGGTTGAAGATCGAGTAAAGAATTCGTAAGGCTACGAATTCCTATGCAAAATAAAAAATTCATAGAGAAGACCATTAACTCGTTTTATGTAGTTTTATTGTCCATTAGACTTTTCATATAAATGCATAAAGTCAATTTATTCCTAAAGTCAGTGAGGAGTAAACAGAAAGAGAACCTCATAACATATTTCGATTGCATTTATTCTAGTCGCAATTTGAATACTTATAGCGGCATTAATTACAATCAATTATTATTAATTAATCGATTTACACACGCGGTAAATAGCCACAAACTCGACCGGGAAAGAACGGAAAATTCAGAAGAGCAGGAAACGAATTCAAAACGCAAATGATTAGCTGGAACCCCCCCTTACGTCCATTATCGTTAAACGCGATTAAACAGACACGCGATCGAGAGATCGAGACCTCCGGACGCGATTTGCAAATCTAAATCGTCTACTCGATCATCTGTACATTGCGGCACAGATTTGTGAACGAGTCATTCTATCTACGCCGCGAAATACGGAAAATGGTTAGGAATATTCTATCTACTTACCGCTGTCTGCGAATTAACTTTCATTCTGAATACAATACTATTTGCGTTCTATCTAAAACTTTAATTCATTCTCTCCCCTGCGAACACACTATCCACTTGTGTGCAAATGTTCTTTCTATTTGGGATCACGCCAGACCTTCTTTCATAATTAAACTGCGGATTTTATGCACTTGAAGAGGATTTTAATTCGTACAAAGTATAAAAATTACATATTACGTGTGAAATTCAGTAGACTATTAAAAGTTGAATGCATATTGCAATATATGTAATAATGAATTAATTTAACTGACACGTTCTATTTTATTAAAAATCTGCAGCTTATAAATGATCAGTAATTATTTGTTTCGCCAATTTGACTAAATGTAGCATTCATAGGTTCATACAGATAAACGCATATCCATCTGTTGAATCGATTTACGTTGCACAACCGGCAAAGATGATGAAAATTCGCATGGCGCGTACCGCGTATAGATGACCTCATTTCTATTGTGGTAATTGCATAAGCTTCCGGTGCACCGCGCCGACAGGTTGAACCTGAGTACAAACAGGGGCCAAGAATTTCACGGCACGACACTGAATTCCCAGAATATCTTAACTTGGACTAATGCTCTCCTTTTCTAAATATATGTTCTACACACGTAAAACGAGTGTACTTTGTCACCCGCGTTTACTGATACAAAAAGGAAGAAACTTGTTTTTTATTGGGAGACCTCTCCGTAAACAGTGTTTGTTTGCTTGCAACGGCTTCTATGTATAAATCATCCTTCGACGTGCAGAATTCTCATGCATATACGATCCTTTTTTCATTTTCATTCGGTTCCCATACAGGAAACTTTTCCCCTAAAGAATTATATAAAAAATATCTTGTTCCATGAGAGAGCAAATTATGTTCACCTCTTGACCTATATTGATTCGAAATAGAAAAATCATAAGGTCATATAAAAATTATACGTCGATGTCCGAATAACTGTAAATGAACGCGTCGATCCCTAACGGATGAACAATGAGCCGCGACGAACATGACTTATTAAAAGGTTAAAAGACTTTGAGTGGCGTTGCGTTGAACGATTGCGGGTGCTTTCTCATTGCGAGCCAGCCCTCCCCCTACTATTGATAAATTCACCGGGCTGCATTAAAGGCATTAAGCCGATGGGAGTGCATGGACGCATGAATGAAAGGAACCATATCGGCTCGATGGACCGTGATTTTATCTGCGGCGAAAACTTGGTCACCCATCGGCATCGAGCCGACCCAACAGGGAGGGTGTATGAAGAAACTGGGCTGGCTAGTCGAGAAATGATTTGTGATGATGAGACACGAAAACAATCGCCTTTTGTTTATTCCATTTTACGACACTCATTAATCTACACTCGATTGCGCTGATAACGAGTGATAAGTAAACCGCGGATTTTTATTTAGAAATCATGTGATTTAGATTTTCTTTAATCATTCAAACACTCTTATGCGCATTTAATTTTTGATATTTCTACGAGTTCATGAAATCCACAGTCTAGTGATAAGAAACTGTAATCACTAATTCGTTTGTGCCAGTTCTAAATATTTGTTTTGACCACCGTGTTTTTTTCTGTACCATAATGATTGCAATTGCTCCAATTCGAATTTTTGTTCTATTCTTTGGCGCTAACCTAATTTTATACGCGATTACGCACGTATTCGTTTGCTCGTTGATAAGCTTTGGAGCAATCGTTTCCCTTGTTCTAATTCAAACATTTTTGCAATTCACTTGCATTTAATCGCCGACTGATTGCGTAAGCAGGAAGCGATAAGAGGATACAATTCGACTATCGCGAGTCAGCTTTTTTCCCCCTTTATCTCGGCGCGTTTCGTCTTACGTGAATGCTGGACAGTGGGAATGTGTAAGAAGCTCAGTTTTTAGCAAGAGAGAAAGGAGAAGACTTCACGTTTTTTACGTTGCCGTTTCGAATCGCGCCCATTTACTTTCATCCTAATGAAAGTCACGCGACTTTCCATGAAAATATGAAGTAATAAGATTGACATTTGAATCGAACAGCTAAATCGATGTTTGGATCAATTCGCGACTGGAAGTTTCGAACTTGGAACTCTTCTAATGTAACTACGTTATTCAGCCGCGGTTTGAATTAGTAATTTTCTCTAACAGTGAAACTCACCGATTTTGCTACGAATCGCGTGTTTTCTCAATTGGAACCAACTGCTTCTACCAAATTCTCGTGTTCTTGTCTCTTCAAGACGAGTCGTGAAATCTTTTCTTCCTCGCAAACAGTTTGCTTTCTGATTTTTCCACGTTGCAAATATGATTATGCAGAATATGATGTATTATCTCCTATTTTATCTACTAATTCAATTTAACGCCGTGTGCGCTCTAATTAGTTCTTTCCGTTAATTAAAAATCATAATTTTCGATTGACCGCTTCAGTAATTACGACAGAATGGAAAACTCATTGGTGTAAAGGCTAATTTAATTCCTTAACGCTCGCATAGAATGTAAAAATATTTTTCCCCGTTTCTAGTTAATTCGGTTCAATCAAGAGATTTTAACTATGCATCATTACAACGAGATTTTCACGTAATTCTTAAAAGTGCATAGAAATTCGTTTCTACCTGCCATGCATCTCGAATAACTACTTCTATCTATGATTCATCTCCTTGGCAAATAATTATGAAACACAAAACCGATCGTACGCAAGATTTCAATTCGAGGTTCGCACAAACACAGGAAGGATCAAAAGTCAGTAATCGCTAAATCTAAATTTACCTACTCTGTTATTAAACCTAGATTACGTTTGCTCAGGGATAAATTTATTCATGCGTATATACGATAGAATAGCAAACTTTTCGCATAGACAGAAGCGTGAAAAGTGCTACGAGGCACGTACGCAGAGTTAATAAATTAATTGCGTTTCCCTTCGATAGCTTCTCCACTCTGTTTCAACGTTACGCAAGATACACGTGGCGCGATCGCGAGATCTGAAAAGGAAAGCCTCGCGTTACTAGAATTAACCTTCAAGGCTGGGATCTAGTCCAAGTACAGATCTAATATACATATC